AAAAAAGTAATATGTAAAATATATATAAAAATTAAAATATGAAAAAATGTGTTAAATATCTATACACACAAAGAATATGTTAAATATATAAAAATAAGTAAAATATATATATTGAAATGTGCGCTGACATCACCCTGTCAGCAACATGACGCTGCGTATTTTCATGTCTTCCTGAACATGTGACGTGACGAGGCGACGCAGCCGCACAGAGAAGAAACACAAACTTTAGTTTATTATTTTATTAATAAGATAAAGTTTGTTTCACAGTGACGAGCCAACAGAAGACTCAGGCTCGAACCTGTGACATCATCAACACGTTCAACATGCTGAGCCTCCGTGTCTCCGCCCACTGTGGCGTCAGAGTAACGATAGCATACATCACTGAGATAATATTAATAATAAAATAACATGATCAATATTTGTCTTTGTCGTCCTTCAGTGTGATGTCACCATGTTTTTACTGTCTCTGCTGAAGGGAAGCCAAATGGCGTCAGACGGCAGGAAGTGACATCACACGTGCCTCAGTAAAAGTCCTGGTCGTAGTCTGTGGCGTCCATCAGCTGCTTCATCTCTGACACGCTGTTGGCCAGGTAGGTCGACAGCTCCTCTGACGGAGGGACAGACAGGAAGACAAACAGACAGACAGGAAGACAAACAGACAGACAGGAAGACAAGTTATGAAACACAAAAGGATTTGTAAAATGTATGAAAAGTTGTAAAATATTCAAAAATTGTAAAATATTAAATTGTAGAATATTTAAAAAAATATATAAAATACAAAAATATGTGAAACTTGTAAAAAGTTGGAAAATATTCATATATCTGTACGATACATATAGAAAAAATGTAAAAGAAAATTAAATATAAAATATCTAAAATGTGAGAAATGCAAAAATATTTAAATAAAATGCTAAATAATCAAAAAAGTTTTATAATTTCTACAAAAGAATAAAAAAAAGATAATTTATGTAAAAGAGATTAAAATAAATTCAAAGTATGTAAAAAAAAACAAAAAAATATGTAAACTTTATAATAAATGTTTAAAAACTGGGAAGACATATTTAGAATCTATGATTAAAGATGTGTAAATATAGAAAGTATGTAAAATATACATATATATATATATAAAGCTACACCTGCTTCTCCACTGATTTCCCTCCCTTCAGCTGCATTATGAAAAGCTCGGTCAGCAAAGTTCACAGGATTGGCTCCTCAGGTTAGTGACATCACAAACCCAGGCTGACTGCTCATCTCAGTCACGATGCGTCTTGTAGCATAAACAATGAATAGAATAAATGAAGGCTGCGTGTGGACGAGTTCAAACCTTGATTTTAACTGCAGGACGTCTTTAATGAAAAATGTGATGAAATATTTATTAACAGCTTTTATTTTCCACGATGAAGACCAGACGACAGAGTCTCGGGGTCCCAGCCTGTCTCACCTGCTCCCAGTACTCCCAGTACAGCCGAGGCCGACACTGATCCCAAGTTGTTACGAGCGATGCAGCGATAGGTTCCTGAGTCCTCTAGCCCCGCCCCCTCGATCTGCAGCCAACTGGAGAGCTCGAACTTCAAAGGACCGCCCCGAGACTGTGGACAGAGAGACAGACAGGTGATGATGTTTTTAAACGCTCTGATTGGCTGATGTGTGTGTGTGTGTGTGTGTGTGTGCGTGTGTGTGTGTGTGTGTGTGTGTGTGTGTCATCACCTGGACTGAGATGTGGGGGTCGTCTCCGGGCAGGACGACGTCTTGGCCCTCCTTCCTCCACTCCACCAGCGCCATCGGGAACGCAAAGACCTCACAGAGGAAGACCAGACTACTTCCTGTCCCGTTCACCTGGCTGTGAGGGGGGACCTTAATGATGGGGACTGAGGGACAGACAGGCACACAGACAGACAGACAGACAGACAGACAGAGGACATCAAAAACAAATGAAGACGTCTCTTGAATGTGGCGTCTCCTTCACGTCTCTCTCGTGTCTCATTAGTGTCCCCTGGAGACAGGAAGTGAACAACCAGCTTTTGTTTGTACAGGAGACATTAGCAGTGAGACAGGTTTATCAAACAGCGTGTGAAGACAACAGAAGACAGAAGGAGTCTCACTGCAGGGACACTTTGAACAAACCCTTCAAACTAAAGAGAAAGAATTTAAATTCATCCTCCAGCAGCTGCGGCTCTTAACTTGATGTGTGGTTCCCTCTGATGTCAGACACTGCTGTGTTTCCATTGGCTAGCGAGCTGCCAAACTTTTGGGGGGGTGGGGTGGGGGGGGGGGGTTGTTTGGGGACTGGTTGCTGTGTTTCAGCTCAGACTGCGCCCCCTGACCTGGGCCTTATGTTTGTGCCCCTGCAGCATGCATCAGACCTGTCAGTGAGAAATATGATTGTTTCACATGGGCGAGGTTCTTCACCAGAGCAGCTGTCACCACTCACGACACATCTGAAGCCTCTGCACCACTAACTCATCACAGTTCTGTGTCATCGAGGTCAAATTTCAGTCTTCATCATTTTTAAAGGTCATATTCATTCACAGTGCTCATCGCTGATCACTGACAGGCTGTCACAGTGTACAGAGCTCTGTGCAGCACAAACATAATCATCACTTAAACAACCTAAAAACACTGCTCTCAGGCTCCTCAGTGACATTTAACCTCCTCCTCCTCCTCTTCATCACCTCTCCTGCAGCTATCTGAGCTGAGAGCATGTGACAGCTGATCTGAGGTCAGTGTGAGGCGTTCACTGTCTGTCTGTATAAATACCAGTTCATGTGTGGGAAAAGGCGAGTGCAGGGTTTTTGTGCGTACACATCATTCTTGGATCTGTCTGCAGGTATTTTAGGCACAAACATGATGTTTTTCTGACCACAACCAGACGTTAACCACAGTGTTGGTGAGACGTCGAGTGTCTCAACATAAGTACGTACAAATGTCACGAATCTGAGGTTTGCAGAAACACACGATGAAAACATCTGTGAGCACGTTCTTATAATGATTCTTATCTATTAGTTTTATCCATAAAACTACAGAAAATAACTGGAATAGTTTCTGAGGGATTGATGGTCAGAATCAGAGTTAGAAAACCTCCGTTCAGACCAACAGGAAACCAGGTTTATTCTGGGTCAGTGTGAACAGGAAGTGAAGAGGAAAGGAGAGCAGGGACGAAGGTGGAGCTGCTCTCACTGTGTTTCTCTTCTCTCCATTAAAACCGAGGAATGTGCTGAAAGAGCTTTTTGTTCACAGATCTGATGTTCTGAGTAATTACTGACACAACACACACACACACACACACACACACACACACACACACACACACACACACACACACACTGTGAGGCTGTGAGGGAAACAATCTGTGGAGTCGTGATATTTTGAGAAATATTTACAAAATATAAAATGATAGAATAAAGTTTTCATAGTGGAGTATAAATGACGATCACAAACACACACCTGTCATCTAATCTACTCATTTAATTATTCCTATAATTAAGTAATTCATTCATTTATTTTCTGTAACTACAGATCCTGTTGGGGGTCGCAGTGGGTGGAGCCTGTCCCAGCGCAGCTGTAAATATTCAACATGTCTGCTGCAGCATGTCACACACATTTCTCCTTTTATTAAGCTGCACAGATCTGCAGCACAATTTAGAATAACCTCTGTGAGTCTGAACACAGTTGGACAGATGGAGGACAGACAGCAGCAGAGGGGTGGAGGTGGAGGTGGAGGTGGAGGTGGAGGTGGAGTGTAACAGTGTTGTAGTGTTGGTGTGAACAGAGCACAGAGGAGGGTGGAGCTGTGAGGCTGAACAGGAGGGTCACAGTCAGACCTGATCCTCCATCACGTCTCTGTTTATTCAGTAATGAGCAGAACTGATCCAGAGTCAGGGCTCTGTGAGTTCACTGAGAACACTCCTCTGTCCCAGGATCCCTGAACTACACACCAGGCTCCTCTAAAGGTGCTTTCACACCTGTCCTGTTTGGTTCGGTTCAGTCTAACTCCAGCTGGTTTGTCCCCTCAGTGCGGTTTTTTTGTGCAGGTGTGAACACACCAAACCAACCGGACTGAGACCTTCTTGAAGAGGTGGTCTCAGTCCGGTTCCAAAGGAACTCTGGTGCGGTTGGTTTGTGGTGAGAAGGTGTTCCGACCTGGATGTGAAGCAACTGCAGTCACATGACACATTGTTTGGGTTAAACATGAGCATGTTACAGTCCTGGAGGATTATTAATGTGCACCTCCTCCTGTACTGCCTTAATATGCACATTCAGCACATCCAATGCATCAAAACATTGTTTTCTAGTTGGAGCCGCGCCTCGTTTTCAAACTGTATGTTTTGACTAAAATGAACAATGACAGCAATATAGTCCACGATGAGCAGCGCTAAAATCAACCTGCGTAGTTGTCCCTCCATTGTGACATTAGAAAGTGTCACATTTATCTTGCAAGTGTACTCTTCTTCAACGTTTGCTTTACTTCCTGGATTTTTCCCACATGGAAATTCTGACCAATCAAGAGCAGCTTTCTCACACAAGTCATTTGATCTGGTCCTCTTGTAAATGCTGCCGTGAGAACACTTACCAACTCTAGGCAATTATACAACTTTGGAACAACATGAGTCCCTGATTCAGACCAGAGGAGACTACTCTAGGGCTGACAGCAGCCTGAGACACCTGATGATACATGATGAATATATACTGTCATCAGCTGCAGGTTAGAAACACATGACCTCATGAACAGGGTTTGGCTTAAGAATCCTACAGGAAGTGAACACTGTTCTCTCAGGTGAAAGTCGATGTTGGTTGAACCCATCCACCACACCTCCAGCCCGCCCCTGTCGGACTTTCGCTGCCTTAACCTTCGTCCTTGTCCCATGTTTCCCCCCTGACACCACCGGGCACCACTAAACGACAACCAGCTGTGTATCATGCCGACATTAATGGACGCCATTTTCGTTGGTTTCTGACACATCAAGCCGCTGCCCAAGCTCCAGATTTCAACGACTGTGGAGTGAGACTGGGCTCTATAAATCAACTTACTGGAAACCAGTCAGTTGATTTTTTAGAAGTGCATATGTATGTGACACTTTCAAACATGTGTCTGTCAGCTGCACACAGTGATTCACACAGACAGATTTTCATGGTGGTCTTCTCAGAAAGTAACTCATGACATCACTGATGACATCACTCACAAACTCCCTGTCGGCTCATTTCAACAGCACATGTGGATTGATCAGTTCACATGTCGCCACATGTTGTGTTTGGACGCTTCACATCTGCTTCTTACTGAATGTTTGATGATTTATGACATCATAAGGAGAGGACTCTTCCCTCTGATGTTTCCTGATGTTTCTAATTTACAACAAATCCCTCTGCAGATCTGCTGACGGACGGGACGGGACGGAGAGAGACAGGACGGGACGCTTAGACACAGTTACAGTGAAGTGAGACATGCTCAGAGCAAAGGTTTCCTCTGCAGCAGCAGCAGCAGCAGCAGCAGAGTAAATGTAAATGAATAAAGTGAATGTTTCTCTCAGCTGGAGGGAAACACATGAAACTGATTGTTCCTCTTTAATTTCTACTGAACGTCAGAAAAACAGCAGTTGAAAACAAAGAGACTCAGTTTAAAGTGATTCATGTGATGTTAAGGCACTGCATGTATGAGCACTGTGGCCCCACGCAGCCTGATTTAACTCTACTTCAGTAAATGTACCAATACAACAATAATAAACCAGTCAAAGTGCTGCAGGATCACAGCACAGTGTCTTTACAGTTAAAGTATTTGTTGCACAGAAAAATGTCCCTGTGAGTCTTATATGATATGATATTATTAGATTATCAGTTATTGATCAGCAACAGGTCAGTAGTTCAGTCCAGTGGTTCCCAACCTCAGGGTCGGGCCCCTCCAAAGGGTCACTGGGTAAATCTGAGGGGTTAGATGATTAACGGGAGAGAATAATCATCTCTATTATTATTTATGAAGTGCTTTTCCAAACAGAGTCACAAAGTTCTTTACATGTCAATAACTAAAACAGAAAAGACACGAAACCTACAACTTCCAACAAACTGATAAAAACACTTTGGTTTATAAAAACTGAGGAAATAAAAACAGTTTAAAGTAAAATCGTTAAAGACTCTCTGATAAAAGTCTGTTTGAAGAAGGGACTTAAAATCAGAGATCACTGACTCGGCCGACCTGATTGTTCAGAGTCCTCAGAGTTCATCCTGCCGTGTGCGGTACGAAGAGGTCAGAGACGCAGCTGGTAGAGAGACCATGAAGGGCCTTCAGTAAGATCTGTCTTATAACACACTGGGAGCCATGTTAAGAGACTGAAACTGGAGTGATGTGTTCATGAGAAGAAGAAGAAGAAGAAACTAAAGGCCGACGGTCGGCTGTCGACCAAAGTCGGGCCGTCGGTGAGCGTCTGTCGCCCTAGTTTTTGCGGTGTGTCCCGCACCATCGGCACTTTGGCGTCGGTGGCTTTTCGGCCGATTGAGCATGTTGAATCTGCGGCGGAGCTTGTTGGTGAGAGAGATCACTCTGATTGGCTGTTCAGGTTTTATTTCCTCGCCCCTGTAGCGAGTGAATCTGCCTGTAGTGAAACCGGGGCTAACCGGTGCTTCCTCCTCAGGCTCCACTTCACTCAGCTGCCCCACAGACCCGCTGCTTCTTCACACTTTAACCTGAATAACAAACCGGAGCTAGCTGGGAGCGGCTAGCGGAGCGTTAGCCGCAGCATGACCGGAGGGAAGCACAGCCAGTTAGCCTCCGCTAGTTTCTGAGCTAGCCCCGGCTCTCCGTTTGGATCCAACCTGAGCACCGAGCCCTGGTTTGTTATTCAGGTTAAAGTGGGAAGAAGCAGCGGGTTTATCGGGCAGCTGAGTGAAGTGGAGCCTGTGGAGGAAACACCGGGACCGTCTGGATGTAATAGTCCGTGGAGGTGCTGCGGTGCTCGGCTGCACAGATAGGAAACCCCTCGGCTGACAGGATGTACCACTCTCTCACTCCGCTCTCTCTCACGCAGGCGCAGAACGTACGTGCTACTTGGCCGTCGGATGTAGTCCGTGTAGTGTGTTCAAATGCAACTGACACAGGGCGACGTGAGGCGACGTAGACGACGCAACAGTTGGCTTTCGTCACCGCTAGTTCTTTGATGTCGGTTTGGTGTGTCTGCACCTTGTGTTCTGATACACGACGTCTGTTTTCAGTGGACTTTATCTGAGCATCGTGTCCTCACACAACACCTCGTATGATATCTGAGTAATTAGTACCCTGGTCAGACCGTCCTGATGAGCAGGCCCGTTCTGAATCTGCAGCAGCGGCGGCCTCAGCAGGGTGAATGTGAATGAATTAAGTGAATATTTTTCTCAGCTGGAGGGAAACACATGAAACTGATTGTTGACTGTAGATCTGACATCTGCTCCTGTTTAGTTTCTACTGAACGTCAGAATACAGCAGTTTAAAACACACAGACACTGAGAGGAGTTATTGATCAGCACATAACTTTAACAGTTATTGATTAATCTGATGGATTACATCACTGATGTTAAAGCAGTGTGTCGACACTGCAGCCTGATTTATCTTCACCATCGTTGTTCTAGTAAAGTTTATCACAGCATGTAAACGCACAGAGACAGAAAACACAGACGCAGACACACAGGCTGAGGTGAAAAGTAACTAAGTACTATTTTAAGGTACTTGTATTTCACTTGAGTATTTGTATTTTCTGTAACTTAATATTTGTCTTTTACTGCTCCACATCTGTCTGACAGCTGTTCACGTGATCAACATTTACAATTATCCAAAAAGACAAAACCACAACAGGCGTTTCTCGTACACTGCTCGTACGTGTACCTACAAAAAGTAACGCACAAGAATGCGACCACGTGACAAACATACTGACGAGAGTAAAGAAGGAAGTGTAAAAAGAGTGAAAGTCAGCACTGAGCAGGGAGGTTGGGTTGATCAAACAAACACAGGACGTCACGCAGGAGAGCAGCGTCTGTGTCCCGCATGAAACCAGGTGAACTCTGAGTCATTTAAAGGTCTGTTGGTTCTTTTCATAAACTTTAGCTCTGTAACTTTATGTGAGGGAAATAACTTCAACAGTAGGCAGTGATCGCCCGGGGCGATAACATGTCACGTCAGGCTCATAAATCCAGAAATTCTTTTGCCTGATTTGGTGAAAATAATGAAACACATGATTTCTTCTGGAGCTGATAATGAAAGCAGCCACGGGGTCAGGAGCTGCACATGCTCAGAAGTTTATGAGCTGAAGCACAAGCGAACGTTTCAGTTACCCTGGAAACAGGAGATGAGCTGAGTGTCATCAGAGCAGTGGTTCCCAACTGGTGGGTCTCTGTCCCAAAGTGGGCCGTGGGTCCGTTCTGAATGACTCAGTGTGTGTGTGTGTGTGTGTGTGTGTCAAGTTTATATATAAAAGACTTTATTTTTAAGTGCAGTGAATTTTCAACCCTCATTCATTCATCCCTCAACCTTCCTCCCTTCATTGTACATCCTATCATCCCTCCATCTCTCAGTCCTCATCCCTTCATTCTTCCAAACCCTCCATCCATCACATACAGTCAAGCATTATTTTGAAATCTTTATATTATTGACGTGGTCTGTGTCTGTGACCTGTAAACAACTTTGTGACTCTGACATGAGAAGTGCAGACAGACAGGTGTGTGTGTGTGTGTGTGTGTGTGTGTGTGTGTGTGTGTGTGTGTGTGTGTGTGTGTGTGTGTGCAGGTGTGGTACCGGTCTTGCAGGGCCCCCTCCCTCTGGTCTGCAGCTCAGGTCTGGAGAACGCGGCCTCTCTGAACTGACACATGTTCATGTATGTGACTCCATCAGAGCCACACACCGCCTCCTGCTCCTCACACACACACACCTCCTCCTCCTCCTCTTCATCCTCCTCTACTCCTCCTGCGAGCCGAGGGTCCGCCCGACACCGCATCCCGGTCCCGCAGAGCCCGTAGTAGACGCTGCGGTCCCCCGGGTCGCAGGCCTGACCCTCCAGGTTCCCGCACTCCTTACAGCAGCCGCAGGAGTCCAGCACCAGGCCGGCCCGGCAGCTCCGGGTCTCCGGGCACAGGTCCGGCTCACACGGCCCGCAGCCCTCCTCCGTGCGGCCGCCGGTCCCGTTCCGCCCCCCGCCGCCGCCCAGCTCCTCATCCAGCCGGTCGTAGTCCAGCAGCGGGTCGGTGAAGGAGAAGTGTCCGGGCAGCGAGGCGCTCAGCTCGGGCAGCTTGTTGGGGAAGCCCCGGCATGTGTGGAGGTTCAGACACAGACTCAGAAGGACCAGTGCGCTCAGACCCGGCATTTTAAACCCGGGATGGGGGTTCCGTTTGGCTCCAAACACCGACACCGGGACCGGACGGGTGATGCCGGGTCGGTCCGGTTCTTTCTCCGGTTTAACGGCACAGATGGACCCAGAACAGGAACGGTGAGTCTGACCGACTGTCAGCGACGTTACAACCCGACACTCACATTCCTCTGCGGGACAAACTCCGGAGCAAACACCGGGAGAAAGTCGGAGGAACACCGGGACAAACCGGGAGAAACTCCGGGACAATAAACAGGGATAACTAACGTTACCGGGACAAACACGGGACAATAAACTCCTCTCTGACTTCCGTTATAAACAAAGTAAACCGTGTCAGTGTCTCAGTGTGAACTGACCGAGGTTTGAACAGCTGAGCCGCTCGCGCTGCTCCGCCGCACAAGCACGAGACTCTACCGTCAAGTCTGCCGCAATAAAACTCATAACATCCGGTCACAGCCTTCAAAATAAAAGCCTGACAAACGTGTTTTTGGGGAGGACATCAGTCTAACAGGAGAGGACGACATTTAAAACAACACTCATTAAAGTTGGGAAGGTTACTGTAACTGGGAATGTAGGGACTGTTCATTATGTACGGGGGGTGCAAGAAGGAGGAGGCATGACAAATACATCTTTAAGAACTGAGGAGAGACTTTAGTTTTTTATTTTGGCTCAGGGGAGTGAAACAGCTGTGGTGAACACTCAGACTCAAACGCAGAGAACACACAGGAGGCTGAGGAGGGTTAAAAGAAAAAGCTCAGTCTACACGTCTGACCAAAAAAGTAAACTGCTAACAAGGAGTTCAAAAAACAAACTCAACCGACAGGAAGTAGGCGACATCCTTACATCCAGAGCAGTTTTAAATATCCAGAGAGCGACAACAGGACGGAACAAAGACAATGTGACACCTGGAGGGTTTATATACACACTATATACACACAGGGACAGGTGAGAGGTGAGTCAGGGGCAGCAGGTGTGGTTGGTGAAAGGTGTGAAAACACAGGAAATGCAATGACACGAGAGGTTAGCACTTCAAAATAAAACAGGAAATAACTTAACAAAATCCAGAGCTCCGTGTTCACATGTGGAAATAAACATGTTCACAGCGTGTTCGGTCTCTGGAGATCAACTTTTATAGAACTCATCTGTTTACACTTAATTAAGGCTTAAAGTTACACATTGTTAAGGGGGCGGGGCTTCTTTGAGTGACAGGCTGTCTCTCCCTCGCTCCTCCACAGCTCCACCCTCTCGCCCAAATATGGTCACTTCTGGCTCCAAAGAACCAAGATGGCGACAGCCGAAATGCTGAACTCAAGGCTTCAGAACAGGAGTCCACAAACTAACGGGTGACGTCACGGAAGCTACGTCCATTATTTTCACAGTCTGTGCTCAAAACCCACGGGAACTTTGGAGGACGTGTTTTCCTATGATCATAAGTGGACTTATGTTTTTTTACCTTCACTTTAGGGTCGTACAAACTTAAATGGCTGCACCACTCCCTCATAAGTAACAAACAGTCCCTTACAGTGACGTCAGGAGGGTCGTGTCTGTTGTCAGTGAAGAGCTGAAGTGTGAAGTTAAAGCAAGACGTTGATCCAGAGGTCTGTAAATTAATTCTGTCCTTCAGTCATTTTCACTAAATGTAGACTCTGGTCAGCAGCCACACATCCTGGAAACAATCAGATGGAGAAAAACTGTTTTCTACAAATGATCTTTTATTGTTTTGATCTGCTGAACTCTGCTGGTTTCAGTATTCAAGACTCACATTTGATGAAAAAATACACTTGATGAAAGGGAGGAAAAACTGCCACGTTCCAGCTTTTATTCTGAAGGCACGGGGTCTTATTTCCGGTCTGGTTGTGTCTCACATGACGGTAGCGCGCGGCTGTGTGTTTGATGTGCTCCCTTCAGCACGCGCAGCAGCTGTGCTCCCCTCCCCCCGCGAGACCTGACAGCTGTTTAAGTCATCATCAGGTTTTTAAGGTCTGGAAAGGTTCCCAGGGTTCTCCAGGAGGGTCCAACAGGAAGGAGGGAGATCCAGGGTCTGTGAGGGGGTCCTGGACTCCAGACAGATTCCAGGGTTCTCCAGGAAATTCTTCAAGGTTCTGTAATGGGGAATCAGGTGTCATTGAGGCATCCTGGAATATCCTTAAGGAGCTTCCCTGGGGTCTGCAGGAGTTTATTCAGTGTTCAATTTTGATGCTTGAATGAGCGTCAGTGATATTTTTATATGTCCTTGAGTTCCAGGGTTCCACAGGAGAATTGTAAAGACCTTGAGTATCCTTGAAGAGGTCCCAGTGGTCTTTAGAAGGCTTCCTTGTGGTTCCAGGGCCTGAGAGGTCCTTGAAAGGGTTTCATTTCTTGCCAGAGAAGAATTATTGTTTGTCGTTGACTCCAGATGTGTCTGAGTTCCTGTCTCGTATATGCTCCTGGTCTGGCCTCTTCTGATTGGCTCTCACCCAGCTGATAGACAGGAGGCTGCTCACTGTTGATGTGACCTCACGGTGCTGCCAGTGTTGGTGGGCGGGGCCATGGAGGAACCATTGACCTTAAGGCCCCTGCTGTCGTGCCTGTGTGACCCCAGTGTTTCAGGTTTGTGTGATGAAGACTAAAACAGTGAAACCATCTTCCTCCTCCTCCTCCTCTTCCTCTCCTGCTCTTTAATCTTTAAGCCGCCGCTGATTTCAGTTTGTTTCCCTGTAAATCTGCTGCTTTGTCACTTTTATAGTTTCACCACTTCACAGTGAACGTCTGAAAATAAGTGGCGGTGGCTCAGTGACGCTGTCACACAGAAATAGAGCCATAATGGCGGGTTTGTGGCGTCTGGTGTCACACTGGAGTTATTTAGTGGACTCTCACTGCTGGATGGGACTACATGTCTGCTGTCAGACACACACACACACACACACACACACACACAAACTGTAAAAACAGAAATTATCATTGGATTGATTTTCTGTCGGTCCTTGAACACATCGAGTGTGAGCAGTGCTCCAAACAAATCTGATCTCAAAATAACAATATTTCATCTCTTTTAAAATGTGTCCATAAAGAATATGATGATAATAATGAGTGAAGCTAACAGCAGCATCACAGACAGGACAGGTTGTATTAGTCTAATAAAACCACTCACAGCACACAGAGCAAAGAGACAAGTGAAGCAACAACAGCAACAAGATGAACTGTCAGACCTGAGGTTTAATCCAGGAGCTGCACAGAGAGACAGACAGGCTCTGGTGTCTGCTGTGACAGCCGACTGTAGGCTGGTCAGCACCAGCAGTGACTGTGAGCACACACAGCAGCAGGACGTGCAGCCATGTGATGAGGTCATCCACAACACAGGAAGTCACAGGCAGCACAACAGGTAAACTCACAATGGAGAGCAGAGCGTCAGTCTCCCAGCACAGCTACAGGACACAGGTGGACAGACAGACACCAGGGACACAGAAGCAGAGCTGATGGTCGGGACAGAAGGCTGAGTGGTTTAACGGGGATCAGGTGAAGCAGGACAGTCAGCAACAAGGAAACAGTCCAGGAACACGCAGGAAACTCTCATGTTGAATGACAAAGACAAAACTGCCAACGAGAGTCTGAAGCTGAAGTATTGATACTGACAGGAAGTGATGATCCACAGGTGAGAGGCGTCAAGTTGACATCACACAGTCCAGCTCCATCACAACTCACAATGTTCACTGACAAAACAACTGTCTGATACTAAACACATTTTCCCCACAAATACAACATGCTAACGTTATTAGCACAAGCCTATGGCATTTTACATTGTATAAATTAGCCTAGCAGCTAGCAGAGATTTGCTCTGCTCATATTTCAGCCAGGATAAATCACACACAGTGTGTGGAGGCTTTATTGTCTTCACAATTTATTGTTTCTTATCTGTGAAATTAAAGTAAATCAAAGCTTTGTTTCCACTGAGGGAAATGGTTTCAGCTCACAGAGACAGACAGGAGGTCTGTGTCACTGTGACACTGTGGAGTTACATCTCTGGGGAGGTGCACGTCAGGCTATGGTGTAGATTAAACGCGTTGATTCATTCGTAGCTTGATGAGGAGGGTGTGGTGGACCAGCAGGACCAGGAGGTGTATGGACAGGTGATAGGCAGGCAGGTAGATGTGGTAGAGAGGCGGGGTCAGTATAAATTTACTGGGTAACTGAGAGAGTGGTGCTATGGCAGGTAAAAAGTGCCCACTGTGACAAATCTTTCAACTTTCAAACATCAAAGTTTAAAAAAAAACTTTCATGGTGGAGGGAGGGTCAGAAAAATAATAAATAAATAAGTACAATAAAATAACATGAAATAAAATAAACAGTCAGACCCCAGCCTCCTCCTCTGATAAATAAATAAAGAACAGTCCCTAATCAGCAGAGACACTTCAGATTAATCAGTCCTAGTTTGAACATTAACATTTATTCTGACAATAAATGAATACTGACTTGAGATGGAGGAGTGTCTCTCAGGATATTCTTAGGAAATTATTTTAAAATGGTGGGTGTCTAAATTAAAGCTCCGTCTAAATTATAATCATCAATAATGACTTTTGATTTTTTTTTCACAGGTTTGATTCTGTATATTTTCATAATTTAATGACACATTCATAAAAACCTGAATTAAACTTTTATTCTGAAAATATAAAACCAGACAGGCAAAGTGATCGAGGAGCTTTTAATTTGTAAACACCTTTTTTACACTGGAGGAAAAATAACCCTGATGATGTCACAGTGATGTCATCAGTCTGCATTGAAACCAAGGAACATTTATATTCTTATTTTTATTTGATAGATTCCTTGGTTTCAACGACAATTAAAACTTTTCAGAGATGTACAAAAAAAAAAAAATCTATATCCAGGTGCATCATGGGAAATGTAGGAGCCAGCGTTTGCGGACAAAGAGTCAGGATGTCTCCGCCTGCTGCTCAACAACGACTGCGGAGGAGAAACATCCAGATCATATTTTAATGTGGACAGTCCTCGTCTTTTCCTGTTAAATCATGTCTGTCAGACTTTATGTGGTTTTGTTGTTTTTGTAGTTTTGAGTTTCTGTAGTTTTGTAGTTTTAAGTTTCTGTAGTTTTGTAGTTTTGTACTTTTGTACTTTTGTAGTTTTGAGTTTCTGTAGTTTTGTAGTTTTAAGTTTCTGTAGTTTTGTAGTTTTGTACTTTTGTAGTTTTTGTAGTTTTGAGTTTCTGTAGTTTTTGTAGTTTTGTAGTTTTTGTAGATTATGAAGTAAAGCATTTTAAAATCTGAACTCTGACAAACTTTATCTTCTCTATCTGGTTTCTTCAGGACTGAGTCGTTCAGACTGGTTCCAGGAGGTGTGAGCGGCGCCGCCATCACTGCCACGGGGTCACGATGGTCCCTCCCTCCTTCCCCTCCTCCTGCTGCACCTCCTCCGGTGGGGAGCAGATGTTGGAGATGAACAGGCAGTGGTAGTTCCACAGCAGCAGCAGCAGCATCAGCAGCAGACTGCAGAGCAGCGGGACGACCAGCAGGGGGAGACGCCGAGACGCCGGGCGAGAGGAGGGGACACCACAGCTGACAGGGAGAGGAAGAGGAGGAGGAGGGGGAGGGGAGGGGGAGGAGAAACGGTGGAGCCACAGACACAGATGTTTGGGTCCAGATGTGCTCTGAGACGACGACATGCTCAGGACAGACTGTGATAGATCCTGGAGGTCCTGGAGGTCCTGGAAGTCCTGGAGGTGTCTGCTGTCCAGTTGAACCTCAGCTGTCTCTGAAAATGAAACACAGAAACTGATGCTGATGCACCCGTCTGAGGGGTCGTCACATTTAA